AGGAATGGCAGCTAAAGCTACAGGTGTTCCCCACTAAAGGGTCCGTGTGGCAACACAATAAGCAAGGTGAATTATGTCCAATAACGTGTCACCACACAACTCAATTTCACTCGCAGAAATGATAACTTTGAAATGTGTCCAACTGTAGTGAACATATATTAGCCATACACTTCATGATAGTTCCTACTTCCACGCGTTGGCCAAACTACAACTTTTTGGTCAAAGATAGTTTAATGAAACACGACACTCCACTGTTTAAGTAATAAAGAGTGTCTTTTTACCATAGATTGTATTCAAAAACACGAACGAAGTGGCCACTCTTTCCTTATATAGACGATCTACGTGATAGTGTCAGTTCATTCGGGTTGTTAGAAGAAAATGTCAAATCAAACGATTCAAAAGTAAAAGTGCTCATTGTTCAGATAATTGCTTCTTTAATAGGCTACATTATCATAGTATTGGATGTTCTTTTGTGTCTACATGTAAGCAGCACTTATTGGTGTAGCTGGTCAAATGCAGCTAATTTAAACAATTATAAATACTGTTAAGTGCATTACCATTGTATTATAATTAATGGCCTCATTATAGTTTCCCAACATGCAAAGTAACTAGCGACAACAGCTTGTATGTAGTAAAAAAAAAAAAAATTCCCTCTGAAATTTCAAGCATATTGTAGCAGGGAATAACAGTAGCACCTCAACATTGTTCTTGTAAGGTACAATATTTGAGTAAATGAATGTACTTCTCTACCACTGTTATACAGAAATGATATGTGAATGTCAGACAGAAAACTTGCTTCATGTCCCAGAAGTTTTATCCAGATGACTTAAAGCATTGATCCACCTAAACATCATGCAACTAAATGTTTTTGCATTATTCATAGCTGTTGTATAAATTACTACGTAGATCATCAGGCGTTTGGTTCATTAAAAATAATTGCAATGTATCTCCATGCATGGCAGGTACATTATAATATGTTTCTCTCTGTGTTCAGTCCTGAATGGCAGACTTCTGTTGAAAGTAACTCTCTCTTTGCCGGAGGTCCAGCACATCGAGAACAGTACAGAAATGGGTAGTGATCATCTGGTTGCAGAAGGCAAATTAACCATCTGTTGACATCATCTACTGCTCTGAAATCTATGAAGGATTAAGAATCTGTATTCAGACAGCACAGTGTGATGTTCAGATGCAATCCTCTTAGCACAAGGATCAATACTGTACCAAACCACTGTGAACTCTCTCATGAACTTGGCAGACCTTACCAGTATTGCACGTCTGATGAATTGGCACATTTAACGTAAAATCTATAGATCATACAGAGAAAATTGACTGTATGAGAGAGGAATAAACAGCAAGACAATATAAGTATACATTCCCAGATGGGGAGCAGCAGGGTTGTGAGTCTCTCAAAGTGCAGTGTGCAAATGTACAATAGGGCGCTCAGGCCTCAGAACACACAATAGTGAGACTGTCCTTCTTAAAGTGAAGAATGACTTTCGTCTGTCCGCAGACGCTGGATAATGTTCAACTGTAATCCTCTTAGCCCCGAGTGCAGGTTTCAACTCTTCACCGCTCCATTTCGATCGGCTGTGTCAGAATCTGTCCGTAAGGTTACTTACATGGCTTCTGTTATTGTGTCCTACTTAACTGCTCGGGGTCACATCACACACATGTATTGTTTTTGTAAATGTTTTAATCATTTATCATGTTATTCTAAATGTCTAGTAGTGCATATGTAATATAAAGCGGGTATGAAATGTGTGATGCTGTAGCATTAGGAATGTTGAGAGGGAATAAATGGAGCCGTCCTCATGAGAAGTAGATGATATTCTCAGGAATGCTTTCAATGAATGGCTTCTCTCTTTCTCTTATTAATTAAAGCATTTGGCAAATTAAAACCACATGGAGGGAGAGAGAACAATGGCAGAGTGTAGGTGGCTTGTGCCTTGAGCTTTTTGTGTGTGCGAGTGCACATTTCTAGTGTTCACATAATGACAGACAACACTCAGGAGATGGGAGAAAGCAGAGTGGGAGAAGAAAAAAAAGGAGGAACAAAAGAGTTTCTCGTCGTTCTCGTTCTTATTTTCCTCTCCTCACATCCCCACTCTGTTTATGTGACTTGTGTTGCAGATTACCTGATCCATCATGGTTTAATCTGTTTTTTATGAGCCTGTCTGAGCTGTGTGTGTGTGTGTGTGTGTGTGTGTGTGTGTGTGTGTGTGTGTGTGTGTGTGTGTGTGTGTGTGTGTGTGTGTGTGTGTGTGTGTTGTGGTGTGTGTGTGTGTGTGTGTGTGTGTGTGTGTGTGTGTGTGTGTGTGTGTGTGTGTGTGTGTAGCAGGGGGCTGATTACAACAAAGAATGTGGCATTTATTTATTTAATTAATCAATTCTCAAGTCGCAAAACTGCTCCGTTTGTCCTCAGAGATCAGGGCTGATATGGCATTCATGTAAATTCTCAAGGCGAGAATTCAACATGTTCTACTGGTATTTCATTGAAAAATCCTGTGCAGGGACGGTTGCCACGGTATTTATCATATACAGATAATATTTATCTTCAGGGGACAGCTTACTTGTAGACCAGCAGAAAGTAGTTTAGAGTCTGGTGGACGGATCAAGCATGATACAATATAAGTAATCTGATATATCCTCACTGGCTCCAACACATAAACTCAATATATTACACATATATATTACCACAGTGTAAAACCAACGGCGTGTGCAACATCCGCAGTCATGTATCTAAGGATCAGAACAAAACAAATAACAACAAATGAGATGAATACAATATAATAAACAAGTCATGAGAAAATGCTCAACACTAAATACACCCTATTACAGCATAAAAAATACGTTGTACAGTTCAACTTTTAAAATGAATTTGAATTCTTACATGACCATCCAAATAAACTAGAGTATAAACCGTTGACTGGGGGAGTTTGGCTAAATCAGTTTTTAAAAACTGATTTAAATTCATGGATAGTAATCAGACAATTTCTAGTCGAGGGAGCCACATATTTAACCCCCCAAATTGCTGCCGGTGGGTCATTAGTTGCAAACCCACAGAAGTTTATTTTAAATTCCGGTAAAAATCCAATAGTTTCCAAAATATGTCAGGCTGAAATATTTGGGGAAATTAGCATAGCATGAATCTTTCTTTTGATGGAAATATTCCATCCATAATAACTTGGACGTTGAATATTTCACTAGACAGCAGCTTTAATGAGAAGTTCAGTAACATGCATGATGACTAGGGTTGGGTACCGAGAACCGGTTCCGGTTCGGAACCGGTTCCAACATTTCGATTCCAAAGGCATCATTTAGAAATGTGAATTTCGGTTCCGCTTTTCGATGCCTGAGGAAATGTTTCTCGCCGCTCTCCGTAGCCTACTGTATGACTGCGGCGGGGCGAGAAATTTAGTGTTGTACCTACACTTCCTACAGCGTAACCTGAGACCAGGGCCGGCCCGTCGCACTGGCGTTATAGATGTTCGCCTAGGGAGCCAGATCTGTGGAGGCGCCGCGCTGACAGCTCTGGGAGGGAAAAAAAATATTTTGACCGTTGGTGCTCATCCTAATTTTCGGCCTTGATGTAACAACATTCATAATTAAGTAAATATAACACCCTTTTCATCCCGGTTGCACTTTCCATTTCCCCTGTAAGTGATGAAAATGGGGGATGTTGGCTTATCTGGCACCCGCAGCTCACAGCCAAAGTGCGAGTGAGCGAGGGAGAAAGGGAGGGCGCTGTTGTTATTAGCATCTGGTGCTAGCTGCTCTAACGGAAGAAGAAGATGTTTCTACACTGATGTGGAGGGAGAGTCCTCTCCAGTCAGACTGAGTGGCTGATAACTACAGCTCAGTGAGGTAAAGGACTCTTGAGTGTTTAGATAGTTCACTTTAGTCTAAGTTATCTCAGTGGGTCTCAAACGTTTCGATCACAATTTATGTAAACACATATTTCCAAGGCACTCCTTTATAATTATTGGGATAAAACAGGTTTGAAATAATTCCAATGTATACTATAGGACAGTAAACCAGACATATGGTTTTAAACTGGAGAGATAAAACAATATGCATAAATAAAATAGTAAAATAAGATATGAATGAACAACAAAAATAAAATACGTTACATGTATTTGTTATTGGCTATGGTAGGTTACTGGTTATGTTCACATACTTATTTACAGTGGCGAGCCGTCAGGGCCCTCTAGGCCCTCTGTGAGGGCCTAATATATTCTAAAAAATAATATTTGAAAACATTAAAAAAACAACATTTTTTTTTAAATATTATTTTTAATATTTTGTTGTTGTTACATTTTTCATTAGTTTTACCGAAATAACTTGATTTAATTGTATATAAAATAACATTTCCAAAGAAAAAATCCTTCGAATCTGCCTGTTCAGTTTCTGTTGGAATGTGAAGGGTTAAATGCCGTCTCTGCGAGTTATGTGAAGACCGGAGGGCTTGTTGGTCCCTCTCTACATTCACAGAGGGCCCGCTATAGTAACTCAATGAGAGAGTAATATCAAATGACAGTTCAATTGACCAATCATATCTTCCCTCTAAATGGGCGGGCTTTATTTTCGCGGACTTTATGACAAGTCCCGCCCGCTGTGAGGTCTCTGCAAGTGGTGCAGTGACGCGTCCTAAAACCCGGAAGTAAGCTTCGCTCGGATTCCCTCGACAGAAAGCAACGGGATTTCTACATAGGGTTTTGGAAAATAGCTTGAAATAAGGTCTGTGGAAAACGAACCTGTTAGTTAAATGCACGTTTTGTTCAGCCGGATAATATCCACATGTCTACCCTACTTTTATTATTTTCGAATCATAAATCTAATCGATAGATTTATGATGGATAGATTTATGATTAGCATAAGTTCGTTCATGATTGCTCACTTCAGTGATAGTGATCGTTGCGAAATTATTAACCGAGTCATTTTCAAGATTGAGTTACAATGATAAACTGGAGTGGCAAAGGATCAGCTGAATGACCCGCAAGTGCTTCATCCAAAAGCACAGGAGGATGGACTTTGTGTTTTAAGTGATTTGATCATCAAAGGTAGGCCCAAGTCATTTTCAATGCGGGCCGCCGTGCCGACTGAATTCATTTTTAATTGTTACTTAGCTGTGGGTGCCCTGTCATGATAGGTGTTTATATAAATGGTGTTGTTTTGTGTGGTAGAGGGTCGCTGTCATTGATGCGTTTTGCACCCCGGGCTGCTGTTTTGATATTCCGCTGAAGTATACGCTGTGACGTAATTGTTAAGTGTAAGTATTAATATGTCTGCATGTAACTGCACTATAACTGTTCCACAGTAAGAGGGCGCTATAGGCGTAAGGAGGCGCAGCTATTGTAGCTGACGTCAGGTATCAGGTATAAGGGATTGTTCCCTCCCCTTCTATCTCTCTCTCTCTAGCTCTCATGGAGAGCAGGTCAAGTGGTGCAATGCTACGGTGGCCGGCAGGTGCAAACGCTAAACAACGGCCAAAAACACACACATAAGCAGGAAACACCTGCAAATAATTAAATGAAAAACCAACAAACCCTGAAAACACATACAACAGAAAAACGCTGCATTTACAGAAATGATGCAAGCTAAAACTACAACACACAAACCCCGAAAACAAACGCAACAGAAAAACGCTTCAAATACAAAAACGATATGCAAAGTCAAAGCACATACAACCGAAAAACACATTACAAAAAAAAAAGACATTACAAAAAAAAAACATTCCGGAAGTGCTTCAGGCCTCTAGGGGGCGCGCTACGTGGAACAGATCGATGTATGACCAGACATAGAGAGAACGAACAAGAGGAAAGAAAGTTCATTTAAGTGGAGAAAGATATAAGAAGGTAAGTTTTGTTTTGTTTTTATACATAGAGCGTCATATTTACGTAGATAGCGTTAGCGTGTTTGATCAAAGAGCTTGCAAGAGCCATTGTGCACCTAAATGTAACTCTTGACATAATATAGATATAGTATAGAACCGGGACGCCCTCCCTACACGTACACGCAGATCACACAGACTGGGTGGGGTCTCACGCCTGAGCCGCAAATGCGATGCGGTGATAAAAAGGAAATCAAATGTAAAAAGTTGAATTAAAATATTAAAACAGCAACACAACATTATTCCCACATTAAAAGACAGTCTGAAGAGGTGTGTTTTGAAGGTGGGGGGGTCGGTGCAGTCTCTGATGTTTAATGGGAGTGAGTTCCAGAGGGGGGGGCAGCGATGGAGAAAGCTCTGTCCCCCCAGGTTCGGTGCTTGGTTTGTGTGGGGATAGACAGGAGGTTGGCTTCTGATGAGTTAATTGAAAGACCGTTCTTTAATACTATTATAATATTTAGGTAGCCGAAAAATATCCACTCTTTTTGACTTAACCTTGCTGTCCTACATTTTATTTCTCCACAGATGTACTGTCCATTCTGTGGTTCCAGCGTGACATCTTCGCATGGCTTTTGTGGTGTCTGTGGCAGAGACATCACATTTCTAAAAGATGTGGCTAACAAAGTCCCTGAGGAGATGCCCACCACTAGTGCGCATCTAAGTGCACAGCCTAGCACCAGTGCAGGTAAATAGGTTGTTCGTTTTATTACCAAACAATAAGTATTTATAGAAAACTTGGTTTAAAAGTTCGAATTCTGTTATTATACAAATACATCTCTAAACTATGTGGCTTACCTACTGTTGAATGTGTTATAAGATGTTCCTCAGAAGGGATTGAGGATGAGACTCCTATTGAACATAATGAAGAGTAATGAATGTTTTATTCCTGTTTTTTTGTAGCAGGAAGCTCAGTCCTTTCAGAAATATAGGGAAATAAAAAAGAGGGAGAGACCTTTTTTACAAAGGGACGGCATAACTCCAAAAATAAACAGAAATTGGTGAAGGTATGCAACGTTTTCTATTATGAATACATCTGTCATTCAAATCTGCTCACCACACTCTCATATAATGTCCGAAAAAATGTTTTATTCATTTGCATATTATTGTCTTTTTGCAGATTTCTGTTGGAGTAATGAGGAGGATGGATGGCTGCCTTAAACCTGTGAGAGGGAGGTCACTTCCCCTTAATGTTGAACCTCAATGGGCATGTGAAGAACTGTTGGCTGCTGCCATAAAAAAGCAGAAAGCCTTTAACCAGGACTTGGAAGATGGTGCCCATGTCTTGTTGTACCCTGATGCGAGGGTGATAACAAATATCCCCGGAACGGACACCCCTTTCACAGTACAGATGTACAAAAAGGCCATTGGAAAGCCCTACCAACTAATTACGTTGTACATCTGTACTCTTGAAGCCGTTGAAAACAGTTGTAAGTGCTTCTGACATATATTCCCCCTTGTTTAAAGCACTAAAATGTATAATAGTTCAAATGTAAACATAACAGTTGTTCTGTCTATATTTCTTAACACAATTCATTCCACCCATCATTCCTTTCTCTTCGTGGTTGAACTTATGACGTCAAATGGTCTTTTATGAATAGTGGCAGAAGAAATGAAATTTAAGTATCAACAAAAGCTTCCAAACTTTCCTTCTGTTCAAACTAAATATAAATTCCCTCTTAAGGATTGTAATTCTAAATTAACCTTTTTTCTCACAACAATGTTGGTTTGTTGTGCCCTAAATCCTAATGTGAGAGTGAAAAGGACAGTCAACAATATAATGTACATTTCACAAACATTTTGTGTTTCGATTGAATCCTTTCTGATTGATGTCAATCCAATTATTCAGGATTCAAACCAACATTTGATGATAGGTACAGACGTAGGGGAACAATTATTTGTATAGTATTAATCATGACACTTTTATTTTCTTAGGTTACACTGGAACAACCTCTTCAAGTGACGAGGACAGTGTGGTTGTTGCAAAGTTGCCATCTGGAGACAGTCTTGCTGACACCGTGGTCAGTTTGGATCTATCGTGGCATTTATTCTTAATTAAAGTGAATTTATTTTATTTCAGTCAGTCATTTGTGTGTTGTATGCAGGTGTGGGACTTTCCAAATGAATAGATCACTCCCAGAATGGACAACAGTTTGCCAGGGTAAAATAAAACATTGTCAACATGTTATTTTGTGCCACAAGAAGCAGAATGTTTTAACAGTACAGTAGTTTGAATATATTTTTTGTTTACCTTTATCAGACCTCTCAGGCACCCACAACCAGCGTCTGATCGGGTAAGACTAATTACAAATGTAATTATACCATGTAGGTTTGAATTTGTGAACATGAAATCAATAAATACCTTTGTGTGCTAATGACACTGTCATTAGATCAACTGCATCATTATTATTTATTGGGTAAAAGTAGGATGGAGAACCAACCCCATTCCAGGAAGAGGTCCAGTCTGCCCCGGGTCAGAACACCTTCTATAGGTAAACGATGTTGACAGTTGCATCGTGACACAGTTGTTTGGTGTGTATTTTTATTTTACATTTGGTTGTTTGCATAGCCTCCAATCACAGTGGGTAATATTGCCAGGAAGCAGAACAATTATACTTTCATACATTTCCAAAGGACACCCACAACATCTTAGTGAAGACGATGCAAAAAACACCCACAAATATTTTTCAAAGATCAGATATTGTTTGTTGCATCCATTTCAAATGTTTACAAGGATTGTGCAGGAGTATGACAAAAGTGCTGTTGTCAGTTTAGAACCCAATGTATTAAAAAAAACAGGAAGAGGATCGACATCCTTTTGTAAATATGACTGTCATGCATATATTATGTATTTGAAAGTAATTATTCAACTGTCTTCTCACTGCAGCAACTACACAAATGTGTATGCACTTATCATTATTGACAGCCAGTCTGAGCCAGAAGAGGAAACGGAGCAAACTGCAGAGGAAATTTATTAATTGTTACTTTTATCACTTAATTTTTTTATTCTATACTGTAAATCTTATTACTAGCTTCATCATTTAATATTACAATACATCACTTTGTCTTTCCCAGCACAGAATACCTGACTGCGCCAGACATTGTTGCAGAACTCTCTGCAAAAATTAAAAATACCTCTTGCAGCAGGTTCAATATTAATAGAGCCAATGTATGGGATGGAGCAATCCGCGGCTTCAAAGGGGCCTCATTCGACCCCTCTCATCAGATGCAGGTTAAGTTTACTGATGATGAGGGACAAACTGAGGATGGAGTGGACACTGGTGGTCCCAAGCGTGAGTTCCTGACCCTCCTAATGGAATGTCTGAGAATGAGAAGAATATTTGATGGTCCACAGGACAGGAAATTCCTCACGTTCGACAATGCAGGTAATGATGTTCGCAAATCTGTCTTATGTTCAATACTGTACTGTAAATATAGGAGCTGCTTATGGATTTTGCAGCTGGATTTACGTGACAATTAAATTATCTTATACTGTATATCTTTATGATAACGTGGCAACTGTTGGTTAACGTGATAATAATTTAACAAAAAATATCAACAGCTGCAAAAGATGACGAATACTTTCATGCTGGGAGGATGATTGCAACTTCTATAGTTCAAAAACACAAGGAGAAAAAGAAGAAAACATCATGTCATGGCTCACTGTCTCAAAATCTGATTCTAAATGCATAATGTTCTTTATAAAGATATAACTAATACACAATTATGAATGTATAATATAAGCTGTTTTGTGTATTTAATCATGCGTTGGTCTACAATTTAATGATGGCTTCTACATATTTCACATAAACAGACAATGAAAAAATGTGTCCTTCATGCTGATAACTAGTGTATGCATCTGCCAATTCGTATTCTAAACAGAGTAGTGTGTTGAATCCTTATTTCTTGCATTTGAAACAGATACAATAAAAAAAGTGAACTTACTGTTGTGTTCAACTTCTGCCAAAAACTGTACATGTTTGCCACAGGAGCCACAGAACACTTGAACTGTCCCCAGATGTTGGCCACAGAAAGGACACAACATGGCGGCCTGAAAAGACATACATTGATGTAGTAAATCCATGTAATCAAGTCAATCAAAAACACATAGTCTAAATAGTGGTTAGCTAAATAAATAGAAAGATACATCATGTTCACCGTTGAATCTGTGTTCTCTCTCTCTCCTTGAATGTCTCTCTATTTGTTCTTGAGCATGTCTAATGCACACTACTATCCTGTCATTACTTTGTCCCTCTTCACATTTTGTCACTTTCTCTCTCTCTCTTTCTCTCTCAATTAAATTCAATAGCTTTATTAGCATGACCATAGTTACAGGCAATTGCTAAAGCTCTGTATAGTTGCAACATCTATACACAAATACATACATATAAACAAACTGCTAAGAATTCAAATGTCCTTTTTCCGCGGTACTCACTATGGCCCGTGTTATTTGCATGCACTTTATCTGTCATCTCTTTACAATGTTCTTCCCTCACTTTATCTTCTCTTCACATGAAGCTCTCCTCCCTCAGCTGGTGTAGTAGTTAGGCACGCTAACGCTAGCTATATAAATATGACGCTCTATATATAAAAAAACATCGATCTGTTCCACGTAGCGCGCCCCCTAGAGGCCTGAAGCACTTCCGGAATGGTTTTTTTTTTGTAATGTCTTTTTTTTTTGTAATGTCTTTTTTTTTTGTAATGTGTTTTTCGGTTGTATGTGCTTTTGACTTTGCATATCGTTTTTGTATTTGCAGCGTTTTTCTGTTGCGTTTGTTTTCGGGGTTTGTGTGTTGTAGTTTTAGCTTGCATCATTTCTGTAAATGCAGCGTTTTTCTGTTGTATGTGTTTTCAGGGTTTGTTGGTTTTTCATTTAATTATTTGCAGGTGTTTCCTGCTTATGTGTGTGTTTTTGGCCGTTGTTTAGCGTTTGCACCTGCCGGCCACCGTACAATGCACATATGAAAATAAACCACGCCAGTTAAGGCTAAAGAAGACCTCGTCGTCATAACCAGTTTATTGCTATACATGTGACTCTGTCAACAGTAATATCTCTTCTTTTCTTTCGAGGGAAGGGGGGGGGGGGGTCAGAGGGCCTAGGTATAAAAGTCAAAGTTTACAAATGTAAACCGATCTTTTTCATATGGGTGTTTAGAGTTGTACCCCCTAGATCTAGTCTCTAGTAATTCTGCTTAAAGTGCACCAGATTGAAGCATTTTACTTAAAAAAGTTCAAACATTTCTTCCCGGTATGCCTGACCTGAGAAGGCAGATATGCTTGTTTTTCTCAACAAGAACTGTTTTTAAATGATGGGGGGGGGGGTTTCCTTTAAATGTTAGACTGTTGCACTGTTGTAGCTTCAGTGGTTCTCAGGTTACAGTTACATAGCAGTGAATATAAACAGACTGATTAATGTGAATATTACTGTAAACTAACCTGTGTAAAAGTTTCTCGAATAAATGTAATTTTTTTTTGGTGGAAGAAGCATGTATAATTTTTTTACCCTGCCCCTCAAAGAATCGGAATTGAGAATCGGAATCGGAATCGGAATCAGAATCGTGGAAATTCAAACGATACCCAACCCTAATGATGACACTGTCAGACAGTGTGGAAAAAGGGGATTAAAAAAAAACAGATTTTAAACTGTGTGCGTAGGGTTAGGGTTAGATATGTCAGAACAAAACACAATGCGTCAAATAAATATCTGTGGTGAAAGAATATTTAAACCCTGCATTATCTTGGTGCTGTATTGACCGAAATTGTGAAACATCATGATTTAGAAACAACTCTAGAATATATTAATAACCAAAAAACCGAACCTCACCTTATAATAAGCAGAACCTGCAGAGAACCCTGTGTTTTTGTTCCGAAAACATAAACTACATTATCAGTTTAAATATGATTCAGCTGTAAGAGCTTGCCTTAAATGTCTTTATCGTCTGCAACAGAGTGAAAAGGCCGGGATATATCTGGATATGAATCTATCCATAACGGACTGGCTCATACATTAGTAAAAACTCCCCTGAGAAAAGCGATTTAAAACTCATTGTCAATCAGTGTTTCTCTCTAAAGGTTTTCTCAGCTCCCTGTGTGAGAGCCCATTAATATCTGAAAAAAAGTGATGGAATTGAAATCTTTTTTTCTTTTATTTTTTTTTCTAACTGGGCAGAAAAGCTGTCAGCAGATTATGTGGGAGGACAGCAAGTTGACAAGATTTATCAGTTTCCCTACCTCCCTCCTGCTCTCACACACACACACACACACACACACACGCACACACACACACACACACACACACACACACACACACACACACACACACACACACACACACACACCATGTATACATCACTTCAGGGGACATTACATTGACTTGCATGCATTTCCTGGAGACTTATCCTAACCTTAACCATAACCAACACATGCCTAACCCTAACCCTTACCCTTACCCTAAACCTAACCAAGTCTTCACCCTAAAATTAATGATTCCCCTCATGGGGACCTCCAGTTTGTCCCCATAAGGGAGGCGAGTCCCCACACGTGACTGTGTAAACAGATTTAGGTCCCCACAAGTATAGTAATGCTAGGCCACACACACACACAAACACTCTCAAACACACACATAAGAGCAGGGAAAGCCCATTGCCCTTACAAGTTCTGAACAAAAAAAGGCTGTCTAAAAAGTAGGAAACATGTATAACACTTTATTTGCCTCTTTGTCTCTACTCATAATATTTTACCTGATGCTTTTTGTTCCCTCTCTCTCCATCATTCTGTCTGCTTTTGTCTCGCTCACCTTCTCTCTAACTCTGTCGCCGCTCTTTATTTCTCTCATCTCAGTCTCCCCCTCCCTCTCCTTTCCTGCCAGATGCCTATGATTCACATGTGAAGTGTTTATACCTCCTGCTGCTCCTCTCTTTCCTCCCACTCTCACCTCGTCCTCACGCTTTCTCCCTTTCTCTTCCAGCTCCTCATTTCTTTCCTTTCTCCCACTGTTTTCCCTCCCTCCTCCTGTGCCTCTTAGATAACTGTCTTGGCTGCTGGTGCTTTCATCATTGTAAGACCAATGGCAGAGACGGAGGGTGCGACACCCATCCATGTCACGCTGTCACTTCCTCTTCATCCTTCTCTGAGGATTCCTCCTCTCTTTTCCTCCCCAGCACCTCTCTGAGATCCATCATGTCCTCCATCCTTGTTGGGTAAATCACCTCCTCTCCTCCTTGTCACTCTGTGAGACTTTCCTTATGTATGTGGTGACAAAGTTGCTTCGCACGACGGGCTCAATTGAAGGCTGCTATATATATATATATATATATATATATATATATATATATATATATGGTGCATATATAGTTCAGTGGTATGGAACATCAAACATCACTTTTATAAAGGTTAACTTTTCCAACACAGGGCTTAATAGAGCTAACGAAAATATCTGCGATATGATTCAGTCATGTGTTCAGTTATTTTGTTGCGTTGTCTGATTGGATTTTCAACCTGTTGTTATGTCTTTTAATTGTTACATTGAGGGCAGTGAGTGCTACAAATATAGATAAAGTTAAGGGTTATTTTGATAGAATACTCAAGTTCAAGCCGATGCGGATTTTCAAACAACGAATCAGCCTTTTTCTCAAAATGCAAAGCAAACATACTAATGGAATAACTTCTGTAAATGTGCATGAGTGTGAGCTCAGCATCTCATATTCTAACATCGGATTCTACTATGCATGCATTTGAGAAGGAGCCCTTTCAAATCGTCAAATATTATGATAGATTTGATATTTTCTTTGTCTGTCGTTAAAGCTGCTATAATAAATGCATTTATATCAACAATATTTCAGACAGAGAATTATTACTCTACAGTTCCCCTCAGCTAGCATTTCAGCTCATTGTGTTGTCTTTGCAGCCTCAGGACTTTCTGCCTTGGTTCACTTTCATTCTAAGAGTAGTTTACGGTCACAGTAGGAAGCTGTTTAGCACACAATAAGCTCTAAATCCCAGTGTTCTCCTGACAGTCAAAGTTACCAACTAGCTGGTGAACAGTGGAGCAATTTGGCAGACAAAAAGCCAGATATTTTCCTCAGGAGTTGGAAAAAACAGAGCCAGACAATATTGAAACCAAGAGATGCTTCATATTATGATAGATATTGGGTATGAGATGTAATATCTAAAGACTGAGATAGGAGATTTCAAGAAGTAAAGCTTACCAACTCATCCTCAAAAGTGATTGTATGTCAGCGGTTTTTACATGTTGCATCTAGCTGCCTCAAAGTGGCAAACATATTTAACAATAAGATGAACTTTAATATGTTTTATGTTTAATTTGTCTGATTTAGATGTTCCAAATCCATAATGCAACATGAACAGGAAATGCTGCAGCCTTGAGAGGTAAACAACAGGATGTTAAAGGGCTCTTTTATGAATCATGATACAACGTGTCTTGACTCCTGTGATTTATTGTCTCTGCAGGGACACATGAACAGATGTTGAGAATGCCGCTTGGCTTCATGTTTACTGGATTACACTGGCTAAAACACAGGTGGGAAACAATATTTTTTAATAATGTATTTTTATGATTTTTGTCTTTCTTGTTTTTGTTATTTTCATCCAGATGAAGACCCTGTGAAGTAGAAAACATTCGGTATCTGAACCATTGTTGTGCCACACTCAAAAGACTTCCATCCTTACTCTGCCCAGGATTGTACAGTATGAAGAATGTTTTAAACAAAATAGTTTTTCTCCATTCCAGTTGAAGCCATTCAAGCTGATTTAATATTCTCTCATAGTGCTGGCAACATATTACAGCATCCAGTAACCACATCCAACTTCTCCCATGTCACTTCATGCTTTGTAACTGCTGTGTGGCTGTTGTTCAACATTTAAAGAAGAGCCCAGAGAAATACAGTGCATTTCTTTCTTTTTTTATGCAATGTCCTACAATACACAAGGAGTTTGAGCTTAAGCCACACACGCAAAAACACAATTGGGTGACTCAGACAATGTGCTCTGGTGATACCAGATTGGGAGGGTTTACAGCAGACAAATACAGCTGGCCATGCTCGTGCAATCCACCATTTGTTCTGCAAACACGCAATGTCAATTCTCCAGACACAGAAACAAACATGCACATTCACATTTGCCCACATGCACAGAAAAAGATGTTCACAAAGCACAGAATTCTGTCAAAAAGATCCATTATGATTGCGTATGTAACGTTTCTCATAGAATTTCTACCCTTTTAAAAAATGATAGCCTTTTACTTCGGCTTCTACTACAACTACAGTATCATTTTACAAGCTGATATTTCAATAATGCTGATCTGATAACGCACTGTTCCCATATGTTGACTTCCAAACCATGTGCATGTTCTTCCACAACAGCATTTTCAACACAAATAAAGAATCCCCTTAAAGTAAACAGTTAGATTTCTGACCCAAGTTTTACTTTCACATAGCATCCATTATAAAGTGTGGCAGAGGCATGCTGCGTAAAGTGGCGCTCCACCTGGCTCCGTCACCAGTCCTCATTATTTCTGCCTGCCCAGCGGCCCGCTACTACACAGGCAGCGATTTACCAATGACAACTAAATAACTCCACTGGCCGGGAACTTTAGCTCAGTTTCTCTGAGGACCTTTTGGTGTAACACACACACACACACACACACACACACACACACACACACACACACACACACACACACACACACACACACACACACACACACACACACACACACACACACACACACACACACACACACACACACACACACACACACACACACACACACACACACACACACACACACACACACACACACACACACACACATTGAACCAGTCCTTGCAGGTATTACTCCTGAGGTCATACACACATGCACACACTTTTTCCCAGTAAAGTCCCAGACTAAACGTCCTACTTTCTCATGTGAGACCTTTATAAATCTCCCATATAAGGTAAACCAGGATGTACTGATTATGTGTGTAAGTTACAAAACTGTAAATAAGTATCACGGCTCAAATATTTAACAGGGTTGCACACTGAAAGGGAAACTAAACTGTGCCTCTGTCGGAGTCCACATTAAGACGAATACATGAAGCTTTTAACGACTTAGGAATAGGATTGAATAGTATATGAAGAATTAAAGAAGCTTTGCCTCAGCAGCAGGTTTTAGAAGGTTTCCGTCTCCACAGGTCTCTCTGAAAAGTCAATCAGACATCAGCAGCTGATTCAAAAATCAGAGGGTAGAGTCCTGACTAAAAGAGAGAAAGAGGAGAACATCACTGCAGTAGATTACTGACTCCCTATGTTCATTTTAAAATCAAAGATGTTCTATCTAGATTATTGTCTGACCTGCCACTACCTTTATTAAAAAGTCCAGTCTTTTAGATTGCCCAATTCAAAACTAAACATTAGGCATCATGTGGTTTCATAATCTAAAATAAAATCAATCAAAGATATTTCGGCCACATTTAATAAAATAACTTTTGGGACTTTTTAAATCAGATCTCACAATCTACTGGGGATACATTTGTGCAATTTCAGCATCCAAAACCATGTGAATTTCCTTTTTGATACTAAAGTGGCACAAAGGTTCCTGCAAGAAGTTATTTTTATCTAAAGTAAAACAAAGTAAAGGATGTGAGATCATTGATAAAAGTATTTGTGTAGTTTTGAGCTATTAAAGGTGCCTACGGAGAAGAAGATAATGCAGGGTGGATATCAGCTGAAGCAGGGGGAGAGCTGTGACCTGTGAGTCAGAGAAACTATCTGAACCAATGACCCTACACTCTCAGATAGACCTTTTTCCCAGCAGACATTTTGTCTTGTCACAGCAGGAAAGGCACATGTTTAATTGAGAACATTCAAAACCTCTACAGGCCTTTTAGGTGAGGATGTTGGCATTGTGCAAGTTGGATCACTGTCATGGCTTACTGGAACACATGATAGATGCAATCCATCATCGAAGACATTAGTTTCACCGGTGCAAAGGAAACATCTCTGCAGTGAAAAAGGTATGTTGTTTTCTGGGAGGCTTGACAGTGACTGCTCTCTGGATATAGAGAGATGTAACACATCACTTCTGAAGAACAATCACCATCTTCACATTATACAAAAGTCCAAGACTATAATATACAGCAGTAAGAAAATAAGACTGTCTCACATTTCGTCGATTGATACTTGTTGCCTTTTTCAAATGATACGATTACACAAACAACCATATGAACATATTTGCAAAAAAACTCAAACCATAAGAGCTTTAAGATATGATTCTCGTCCACAGGAATCGTTTTTATAATTATGTAACTTTAATGACTCGACAAAACCCTTAAGTATTCTGGTGTACAACAAATGAGCCAAAATCGGAATGGCAGTTTAAGTTGAATATTTTCCCTAATGTTGCCTAAACAAAAACCATAATTCATCCAATCATATGTTAATCATGAGTTCTATAGACAAAATCTCTTTTGACAACTGTTGGGAAAATACTGAATGTAGCACATGATAACAAAGGCCCTACATAGCTGTGTACGTAACAGGATGTATGATTACCTAGAAGAGCATCAGGACTGTTTTAGGCATATGATAGCTATGTGACAACGATTAACATGATGATTCAGCCTCTATGGAGATAGACATATGACTGTCATGTGTATTGCTTACGCAGGCCTTAGCCAATCTGAACTAAGGCCAGAATACTGCTTTGAACCGGTATTCTCCATCTTGTGACTGTAACACCCTTTCTTGTATATAATTAAGCCCCACGGACCCGAGCTCGGGTCCGAAAATGCTATATATGTAGCAACAGTGCTATATCTGAAGTGTCATTCATGAAACTATTAATATTCCATACCCATCTGACCGGAGGAAACTTGGCGATACGAAAATAAAAATGTTTTTCGAAAAAGAAGTCTCACAAGAAGCCTCTAAATGAGCCCATGGCAAAAACGGGCAATTGCTATTTCTGCTCATAACTCACAAAAACGATCATTTATAATTCATACTTTCTGCACAAACAACACATATTCTGAAAGCTGAGATTCCACAGATTCCATGGGTATACACCCCATCACTACAGGCACAACATTAACCGAGCTAGCAGCCAGAACATAGCAAGTAAACAATATCAGTTTTCAAATCCATGACAATAATTAGGTCTTACCTTGGCTGTTTTGTGATCAAAAGTTGTGTTCAAAGGAATAAAAACGCTGCACAAGGTTAATCCAATGTCTCTTGTCACTTTAAAATGATTACTGATAATGATAATCAATCCTTTCATTCACGGTAGAAGAGTAGGTCCAACGATTAACAGTCCGTGGCTTCAGCTGCGGGAGATGCAGTTTACGCATAGCTCCCCCTCCACAGGCGTAACGTATTTACGTATTTTGAAACTGCCACTCGATTCGATTGGCTCTAACGATTCAAAAAAGGTGTCAATCACCCAAATCGACCAATGGGTTCCAGAGATAGGATCTTGCGTAAGTATAAGTAAAGGCAGTATAGCTGGTTTACGCACATGCCTGCCCACTCTTTTTACGCAGCATAGTATAGCATAGCATGTCCCGCGGCGACAGGAGAGCAGAGAACGGCAGATCGATCAGCAGGATTTGTTTTCTTTGTCTTCATTGTAATAATGGCAGCCAGAAAGAAGACTTTTTTGTCCGTCGAGGAGGCATTGGACATCGTATTTCAGGACTCTCCGTCGGAAGATAGTGATCTCGTCACGCATAAAAGGGACAGTAATGACTCTGATTATGAACCTCCGTCACCGGAAAGGTATGTAATCTCTCTGTTTGTATCTAACTTATTTATTTGGTGTAAGAGTATTCATCTGTTTTTATCTTTTTGTTATTTATTTGGTGTAAGAGTGTATTAATCTATAGTAATTTCACATACGTGACAATAACACGACGGCATCCATCTTGTGATGTTCTTTCACACACTCAACAACAAACAAAGAAGATGGATGCCGTTTCTTGTTCTTGTTGTTGAAATAAACAAGACATGTTGAATTTTTAACACGGTATTACATTACATTTCTTTTAGCTGACGCTTTTATCCAAAGCGACTTACAATTATTACATATATACACACATGCATATATATATACAATATAAATATATGACAGACGGAATATTATTAAATATTGAAAAGATTATATGAACCCTGTCTCACATAATTTACACAGTATACATTTTGAATGATATAATGTTATTTCACACACTCAAAATTGATGTTCTGCTGTTGTTGTAGAGAAATTATTTCTGATTTGAGTTACATTTTTGAAAGTACAAGCCAGAGAATTAATCTATTTGTTTTTTCCACATTTGTTTCACAGTGAGGAAGGCGATGATGATATGGCTTCTGGATGCCCGAGTATTATGGGGAAGATGCCACCAAGGTCAGGAGGTACTGCAGGAGGTGCTCTGATGCTGGCAACAGAAGGGTGAAGACACCTGTGTGCTGCAGGAAGTGTCAGGTCCCTCTGTGCTTCACTACCAAAAATAACTGTTACAGGGTATGGCATGACTTACTGGAGTAATACTGTAGCATTCAGGGTTTGTATAAAGTTTATTTTTTTTACCCAAAAAATGCTTGTTGTATAGTGTCAGGGTTCGTACGGGTGCTTGAAATCCTTGAAAATGCTTGAAATTTGACGTGGTGTTTTCAAAGTTGGGAATGGTGCTTGAAATTGAGATAAAGTGCTTGAAAATGTAAATGCTTTACTTTTACAATAAATTGCTGTCTGACTGAATAGTTCGCTTTTTAGATTAAAAGAAAAGAATGGCTTTGCTTCTACATAAAACAGCTCCGCTGCGGCCTTCCCGCGCTATGCGCGCGACCTGCAAGTGTTTGTGTTACGTGTGACCTGGGCATTCTGATGAGAGTGATAGATGACTGTGTGCCAGGAGGTTGCAGTTTCAACGAGCGTTGGCTAGCAGAAGACCAATACAAGCCATGGCTAAGACGAGGGTCAAGCCCACGAGTAGCCTCCTGCAAAGTTTGCAAAAATAACGATGGGAGAGCCACATGAAAGGTACGCCGTAGTAGAGCATTTTAGATTAGGCTAACGTTGCATGTTATGTTTGTTTAAGCTAACGTTAGCGAGCTGAATAGCGAACTCGATTGAGGGATAATAATAATTGCAGGGGACAATCATTTCAGAGGAGCGTACCTATGTTAATATGTGCGTTACAGTCACCATCCTGTGGTGTTCAGAGGATGAAGCACTCACGGCATTTCGTGTTATAGTCACGAAATATAATCTATTGATTCGACACAGAGCGATTTTGAAAGCAATGTATTTCTACTGGTAGTATGTTTCGTGCCTAAATCAAATGTGACTTGATCTATCGAAATCAGTCACATTGACCCGAAGACACATTTTCGTTTGTATTACTGGTCTGGGGGAAGCTCGCGAGTGTGTGTGTGTGTGTGTATTTTTGCATTGGTGTACCGGGGAAACACTCACAAGAAACACCAGCTGTTGTTATGCTTGCTGTGATGTTACATTAGTCCGTTCTCTGCTTGTAATTATGCCGTTACAAGCTTCAAAGTTGTAGTTATCATCTGAATTTGCCGAAACAAGTTTAATATTCTGAAAGCCAATACTTTGTTTATTTGAAAACAGATGAAAACAAACTGTCTTTTATATAAAATTGAAGTATTATACAAGTAATCCCATGTACATGTAATTGTAGAATGAACACAGTCTTCCTTTGAAGATGTATAAGTCAGGTGTCTTGAGTAGCATTACCTACAAATCATTGTACACATTTGTAAATATTATTTTCCACTTGTTACCATTGTGTGTCTATTTTTATGCAGCTCTGTGTGATTTTGTGGCTATAATTCAGACTAATATGCTACCAGAGGTGGAATAAGTACTCAGATCTTGTACTTTAGTAAAAGTAGAAGTACTCAGATCTTGTACTTGAGTAAAAGGAGAAGTACCAGAGTGTAGGAATACTCTGTTCTGCAAAGTCCTGCATTCAAAATGTTCCTGAAGTAAAAGTAGAAAAGTATTCTCATCAAAATATAGTTAGAGTAGCGACAGTAAAAGTAGTCATTGTGCAGATTGGTCCATTTCAGAATAATATATATGATATGTTTTATAATGATTGATCATGAAAGTGTTCTCAAAGCTGGTAAAGGTGCAGCTAGTTTGAATGACTTTGTATACTGCAGGGTAGCTTGTGAATTTACTCCAGGTGGAACTAAAGTCTGATTTAACACTTGATTATATTTCACATCATTCATCCAGATCTGTAAAGTAACTAAAGGTATTAAATACATGTAGTGGAGTAAAAGTACACCATTTACCTCCGACTTATGTTCACTGCCAACCTAAAAGTACCTCAACAATAGTAATCAATAATGTATTGAAAAGTTATTTGGCTGATTGTTTTATATTGGCTCAGCCAGGTTATATGGGAGGCCCTATCTACGTACAGATCACTCATTTTGAAATATTAAACTTAGTTTTATTTTCTTTAATTTTTCATCCTCGTGTAGAATGCTATCACGAAACACACATTTGGTTGTTTATAGCATAAAGAACATCTGATTTAATGTGAGGTAGGGAAATAATCATTTGAGTATGTGTATATATGTAATTTACAACAGCTGTAAGATGCTTGAAAATGCACCTTGAAAGTGCTTGAATTTGACTTTGGAAAAGGTGTAAGAACCCTTGCTAATTTTTTTTTAATAAATCTGCTCCAGTTGGAGTCAAATGTTTCCTAATTTGTATTGTGCAAGTAACATGCATCTCATGCAAAGAGGGAACTTCCCACACACACACACCACACACACACACACTTGTTTATTTTTTACAATAATCTTTTTATTTTATTTTTATGGAATGAATACCTATAGTGATAATTAAATGTTATACAATGATTTTTACAGTCTGGTACCTGAAAAAGGTTAAATGGCACTGATGGAACCAAATGTGCCCAAAGCTTAGTCCGCCTGGACTTTTTTTGTGCTAAATCTCTCTAAAAAGGTAAATTCTCACTTGTTTTGCCTCAATCTTGATACAGGGCACTTATTATGTTATACTTTGGATTCCTAAAGCTTTGAGGCTACTAACCCATCATTCAAGGGTGGTTTTCACTATAAGCAATGGGTTTTATTTGGGCAGAGACAAGAATTTACACTTTTTGACTATGTTCCATCTGGATTGATTCTGACACTTCTACATCCAACTCACAGATGTGACCTTGCTTTGATAAAATAAATTATTCATATAACCCTTTTAGAAGTTAAGTTATAGTCCTTTGTTTTGGGCATGTCATTTTCGAGCCTGAAACCTGAAAAACAGGCTTGGGGCTTAAGAGGATAAAGCATGTCAAGGACACTGTTCTGGGAACTATTTGTGACATGCAGCCCTGTGTGTGATGACTACTTCCATTCTTGCAAGGATAATAAATACATGTATCCTGATATTGAAGACCAAGCCGGTGACGAGTGATATTTTTCTAACAACAACCCATTGCATGTTTCGACTTTTTACCGCGGCCCTTTACACTTATATTCTACCAGCATACTCAACCCTGAAAGATCAATTGTAAGCCGGTCACTGAATAACTCAGCGGCTCTGAGTATCACCTGATCAGTGCACTCCATAATCACTTGACTTGGAGAGGAGCATGAGCACTGAACTATCCAAAAATGGCAGAATGCTTTACAATTTTCTACAAAATGCATTCATTCATGTTAAAGGTGCCCTGTTATGCTTTTTGAGGGTGTATCCCTTTTTCGCAGTATGTTTTATACGTGTTTGTGCATGTAAATGGTCCGCAAAGGCTAAAATCCCAAAGTTTCCTCCAAAGAGAGTTTCTCTCCCACCAGCCACCCCCCAAATAGAAATTAACTAATTTCAATGTGCACATGGTAATAAATTGGGGGATTAAGAATTGTTCCGAGAAAAGTAGACGGTAACTCAATAGTTGATGATGGAGCAATATGAAATGTGAACCAATTTCATATTGCTGTAACGTATCAATGCAAATGAATTAGCTGCTGGGTGTTTCTCGCCCCTTTTTTTTTCTTTTTCTTTTTTAATAGAATCGGCGGGAAGAAACCCTCTTTAATGGTCGAACATACAGAGCACACACAGTGAAATGTGGCCTCTGCATTTAACCCATCCTATAGTACCAGGAGTCTAGTACTAGGAGCAGTGGGGCAGCTATTGTACAGCGCCCCCTACCTCTGCGTATCTTACAAACACTCAGCAGATGGAGGTGTGTCACCGATCACAACGGCCTACTTACAACATGTTGCCTTCTGAGTCAGTGCATTTGGAA